GGTTTCTTTTGTGTGTCCAGTGTAACATCTTTTTCCATGTCATTCTTGTAGCTTGCCACTTTTAAATCTACTTTCAAATCAGTTTCAATCATGTCAGGCATTACTTGTTCCTCTTCCATAGCATCTTTTAAACACAATCTATCTATAGAGGCAGACACTCTTAAAATTAACTTCTGGGTCCATTGTTCAAAAATACCCTTCAGTATGTCCCATGTTAAAATATTTTGCTTCATTCTGTATTAGTAAGTCAAGTTTGAGTGTTCTTCTCCTTTAAGTGTAATCTTTAGTTCCTCCTGGGTCCCTCTAGCATCCAATTTTTAAAGTCTTATCTTATAATTTTTTTTAAAGAATTCAAAACAAAAGCATTTTCCCATGGGAAAGATTCTTTATATTAATTCCAAAATTTTATTTCAAATTTAAATGGAACCTTAGTCTGTAACTTTCTAAAATCAAAGTTTTAATCACCTTTTTGCTGTTTATTCCAGAAAAAAAAATTAAGTTCTTAAACTTGTAATTAAAACTTCTTTTGCTAAGGATTGAAGGAAATTCATCTGGTGCTGTAAAACCTGTCGATCCAAAGGTTCCTAATAGCTGAAAGCAGTTAACAAGCAATTTCCAAAAGTCATTAGAAAAGGAAGTATGCACACACAGTGTCCTTTTGAAGGCACCAACCATGGGTTGAGCAAGATAGCGATTCCCTCATCACCCAGAGCTCTAAACCTGCTGGAGACCATTGTCTTGTGGTATCCTCGCAAGGAGCAGCTGTCTGGAGCACTTGTGGGCAATCTCAAATCCTCTCCTTGTCTGAAGAGGAATTACAGAGAGCCAGTCTACTCATGAGCTCTTAATTGCACCGCAGTCATCGGCTCCACTTTTTGTGGGGCCATATTCAGTCTACCATTTCTTCCCTGGAAGTCCTTTTCATTTTACTTCTGACTGTCAGTAACTAATGTTTCTCTCTAACCAACCTATTCCAACTTCCCTATGAGAACCAGTTGTATGTGGTGAATAAAGACGCTGGGCTAGAAACCAGGAGACAGTGAGTTCTAGTTCTATCTTAGGCACAAAGCCATCTGTGTGACTTTGGGCCAGTCACTCTCTCTCAACCCTAAGAAGGAGGCAGCGGGAAAGCACTTCTGAAAATCTTGCTAAGAAAACTACACAGACTAGTCCATGTAGTTACCAGGAGTCAAGACTTACTCACACATGTACCCCCTTCCCCCCAGCCCCCCCAAAAACCTTCCCTAAATCTGTGCCCTCCAGAATCAGAGGTGTCCATAGACCAAAATCTGCAAGATGGAGGAGGGAGTGTCATGATCAAAGCCCACCTGTCATCTTGTAGATTTTCACACGCACACACACTTGCCTCCAGTTGTGCTTGTGTTTGACTCTAGCTAGTAATGTTGGCTGGGACTTAGGGAAATTACATGCAAAAGACAACAGTTTGAGATCTAAACTGTGCATATATGATTGACTTCTGTCAGGTAACAAATGTAGTTATTACCTCATGCTACATTTTTAAACAACAGTTCATTCATCTCTCTTGAGTTATAAAGGTTTACATCTTAGTATGGCATTTTATGAGTCATCTTGCAAACGGTCATATTGTAATAATAAAAAGAGTTGCAGATAAAGCAGGAAATGTTTCAGGAACATTTCTATTTACTGGAAATTTTAAACATGGCTTGGCCTTATAGCAATGCTCGTGATGGTTTCAAAATTGTGAGGCTGAGCATTAGTAAATACATTGTTTTTTCAGTTTCTGTAAAAATATGAAAATAGTACCCATTTATGAAACCTTTCTTTTGAAATATATGACATTCTGAAATGTATGACATGTGTCTGCTTCCTATGGGACTACTGGCCAACACTTCACAAAGAAACAGTAATCCAGAAAAACTGTATTAGTCCTATGGAAATTCTGCTTTTGAAACATTCTGATGAGAGACATGGGATTGGTACGTCACCTAGGTATATTTAGAATAGGATTATTCTAAAGATTATTCAGGATAAATGTGTTTGTGTGTGTCTGTACACAGGGATATCTGCAGGGGGATAAAAAAAAAAAAGTCAAGATGATGGCCACAAACGCACAATTGAAACCCTGATCTTATCTGAAAAGATGTATGTTGATAATAAAAGTAATTTTTGTACTCTAACATATTTCATTTTGATTTTAGATAGCAGCTTTTATTGAATGAATTCAAGTTGAATACTTTGTATAGAAGTATATTTTGTATATTTCTTTTTATATCTTTCAACTTATAGTCCCTCTGAAAAAGGGCACTTTTTGTCATCAGAGAAGTTGCTTGCCTTGCCGAACCTAACTTTTAACTGTCTGGTTTGCACATCTCAGGAAGGCCACCTAAGAGTCCCTTCGTCATCCAAGATTCATGGGACATGGGTGAGCCAGCAGCCTTCTTGGTGGTGGCCCCCATATTATGGAATGTGTTATCCTAGCTGGGAAGTTCAGATGGCACTCTCCCTTATTGTATTCAGTAAGATGGTACAAATTTTCTTTTTTTAATGATCTTTTGTCTCCAACTGATTGGTGCACAGGCATTCCTCTAGATATGTATATTTCTGTTGCATTTCGAATGGATGATTATGTTATTTTTTTTGTTTCTTTGTTGTACACCACCCAGAGTGGTTAACAAATATAATAAATGCATAGCTGTGTTATCTATAAATTGAAATATTCAATAAATTGAAATTATGTTATGGCAACATAATAATGACATATACAGCTATACAATTCAAAGCTCATAAAAACTAGCTTTCTGACACTGAAATCTCTAATTTTTAATATTAAATTAACTTGGGATACAATAATAATGTAAATGTAGGGCTATTTCTCTTATATATTTATTTTTATATATAAATTGTATATATATTATATAACTTAATTGTGCTTACCATCTTTTACCTTTGTTTTTATGTTTTATTGATTTTATCGTAATTTCTTTGATTGTTGTGAGCCGCCTAGAATCATTGACAGTCAGGTGGCATACAAGTTTAATAAATTATTCTTAATTATTATTATATATCATATAAACATAAAAGAATTATGCAGACTAACACACTGCCAGTTAAAAGTTCCATTAATGTATATCAGGTTATGATTATTCTTGTTACTCATTTTTAAAAATTTCTCCCCAAGTGAGAACATACCTACAGAGGTACAGTTCCCTGACATGTAGTAAAACAACTGCCTCAGGTGACAAAATTTAAGTGTTGTGAAAGGATAGCAAATCTGCATTATTTAATTTATTAATATTAGATTTCTATTGCCAGGGATTAAGAGAATTGCTGCAGGATTAATTATATCATACAGCTAAATTCAGTGGCTTCCTGTGCTATCTGCAGTGATTTTGGGGGGATGATGAAGAGACAGCAAAATATCTTGGCTGGTCCTCTATAAATATACTTAGGGTGTTTTATTAAATGTTTGATTCATAATGCCTTGAATGTTTGACCCCATAAAGTTAAACTAATTCTGTGTCTGCTTAGACTTAAATACCAATGTATTTATCTAAATTATGTATGAAAATGAGACATCAATTTCTTAAGAGACTCAAACAGTGGTTTGAGAAAAAAGCTAGAATTATTTAATACCATAAGTTGTTCCATTTTCCCCTAGTAAAATGGTATAATTAATAAGTTAACAAAGCTACCTTTTATGGTCTGAATACTTCCAGAGAATCTCTGAGTTAAATATGCAAGTAAAGATAACACTTGCCAGCCCTACAAATTTTCCAGTTAAGCTCACTTTATTCACTTCTGCAACCTTCTCTTTTTACCCCGACCATCATCTCCACTCAAAATAAAAGATATTGATTCCCCCAATTCTCCTTTTCACAATCAAAATATTAGTAACCTTATTTTCGACCCACCAGAAAGACTTTAGTATATGAGGCTTCAGCTGGTATTTGGCTTCTCATTCAGAGAAACACAGAAGTTCTAAGAGAAAAGAAAAATCTTGTAACAAATTTGCAAGAAATATCTAAGTTTAGAAATAAAATGCTGCAAAGGGGGTGGGGGGGAATGTGACAGTCCCTGTTCCTAGCACTAGGACAGAACAAAATTGAATAAAGTCCAATGAGAACTAGGTAACAGAGACTTAAACATCAATCTGCAAGATCTGATAGACTGATGAATCCTTACAAAAGATTTTATGGTTCATTTACCTCACTGTAAAACAGGAATAATATCATAATATAAAAACCAATTTCATCAAATATAGGCAAGAAAAATAAAACAAGACACTTGTTTTATAAGAATGTCCTAAACATAACTGAGAATTGTCAATGACTTTCAGGTTTTATGGTGGTTCATATTTCTTGGAGTTCTGCATCTGTAAATCTTGGCTCCTTTCAGCTGGGACTTTAGAACCTATTTTGGAACAAAAACTACACTGGACTGCTAATGAGCTTGCTTGTTAAAGTGAGTGTGTTCCTATGGATTTTCAGGGATGAGGAAGTTGTTACCCTCCAGAAGTGCTGGATCAGAATTCCCAGCAGCAACCCACACTGTTGCCCAAGCTGAGCTACTGGGTTTTATATTAAAGAAGTGTACAGAAGGCAATACATTCCCAACCATTTATTACGCTTCCTGATTCAACCACGGGTGCTATCAAGCCGAAGGTAGTATTGTGCATTTGTGTGCCTTCTCCTTCCCGGAAGATATTTCCAGAGAAATAATTTTGCCGTTGGCTCTCATTTAAACACAGGCTAGGTAAGAAGTGAAAATGGTGATCAATGAAAAACTGAATGAAATGTATTTACTGGTGGTTAAATAAATAACTGACCTGGGATGCAATTCTGCTATACTGGACAGAACTGCACTTCCCCTCAAGCATCAGGTTCAGCATGAGAGAGACAGGGAATTCCTTGGTGCAGAGTTGCTTTTAGAGATATACGACCTGCAGGCCGAAGCTTGCATGCAGATCCCAAAGCTTTGGGTGTAGTCTACATAGCATATTCGGCTTGCCCCTCTCAGTGTATCTCTTCTTGGAAAACTCCTGTTTACCTACAGGTTGTGCTTCACTACTGGAATGCATCCTACATGGGTTGCACTCGGAAAGCACATCAATCTAAGTGTGTTCAAAGGGCTGGTTGGTCTGGATCATATCACGACTGGAGCACACCATGATCTGCACTGTTTTTCTAGAATGTTGGCTTACAGCTTGGGAGCTATGCTCAATTCTCTGTGCTGCACAGTCCACAGGATGAGTGCAGGCAAGTAAGAGATACAAGCCTCCCTCTTCCTTCTGTCTTTAGCTCATCTAATAACAAGGACTGAAAGTGATGTTTCTTATTGGGAAATGCCACCACATGTTACCTCACTTTCTCACTTGGTGGGTGTGTCTCTTTGATAGGCTTGATAGGAAAGGGTCAGAACTGCCTCCTTAGAAAGTGCAAAGAAGGGAAAGCTGCTGCTGACTCTGCTTGCTCCTCCTTAGTCATTGCATTGGGCAGGACTGAGTTTGCTCACAGTCTTCACCACTCTCCTTCCCTGCGAGAGAGGGTAAGCTAGCAGGAGAACCCAAACAGCCATCATTGTCCACTCACACTCCGTGGAACGCCCGGGGAAAGGTAGCCTCTCCTACTCTGGGCCAGAGCTGGGGAACTCGCGGGCCTTCAGGCCTCATGGACGATACTTCCCGGCAGCGCCGCCCCTGACGGACGAGCCAATGGGAAATTGGGAGCCCAACGCGCCTGGTGGACACAAGATAGGGGAAGGGTGGCCTAGGCACGGCGCTAGACAGCGCAATCCCCGCCTCTCTCTCCGGACTGCCCAAGGCTGAACTTCTTCGACTAGCCACGTGCTCTTCACGCTCTCTTAGCGAAGTATGGGGGAAGCTGGCTGACGGGTCTGTAACAGACGACCAAAGAAGGCTATATTGTGTAGCGTCTGGGAAGGCGGAGAGGCGACGCAGCTCCTGTTTTGCAGCGCTGTCAGCCAAGCAACAGGAGCAACCGAGAGGTTCCCTCTTAGACCGGCGGCCGCTTTTCTCACAGGGCGCCGCTTAGCGCGCAGGTGGAGAGGGTGCCCGAACATCTCCACCCCCCCGCCCCCGCTTTCGTCGTTCTCTCCCCCACGCCACGCGCTTGTCCCTGCAACCGGGTTTTATAGCCCTGCCGGCCCCAGGAAGAGACCAATAACCAGAGGGGACTCCGCCCGGCTACCCGCCCCTCTGCGCGCGGGGAGGGGGGAAGAGGCGGCGGAGCGGGGGAGCTCGCGCGTGTGACATTTGGGGAAAACCTTCAGCCGGCGGAAGACTTCCCTGCACTTTCCTCGCCCTCTCTCTCCAACACCGTCTACCTCAAGAGCATCCGACGAGGCTTCCTGTTTGTCTCGGAGCCGAGAACAGAACTGTTCGGACCGGGAGAAAGGAGGTTTCCTGTTCGGCAAAGGGAGTTGTTGCCGCTGCTGCTGTTGCGTGGCCGGTGAAGCGGACTCTGGACGGTGAGAGAAGTTGCTTGGAAGTGGGCATTTCGCGCCGAGCAACTAGAGAAGGAGGGTTTCCCCCCTCCCCTTACTTTCTTTTCCTTCCTTTTGTTGTTGGGTTGGTAGGAGGGGAGAGGTCTTTTTTGGAAGATGCACACGACCCAGAAGGATACCACGTACACCAAGATCTTCGTCGGGGGTCTGCCCTACCACACCACGGACTCCAGCCTCCGAAAGTATTTCGAGGTCTTCGGTGAGATCGAAGAAGCTGTGGTCATCACCGACAGGCAGACGGGCAAATCCCGGGGATACGGATTTGTAAGTCAAAAGCGCCGCCGGGGTCGCTGGGTGGGTGAGCAGCTTCCGAAAAGGGGGTCACTAAACAATGGCGGGAGGGAAAGCAGAGCCGGAGGGGCCGCAATCCCGCAGCCTCGGTCTCTCTCCCCAGAAAGGGAGTGAAAAGATTGCGACCGTTCGGCTGGAAGGTGTAGAGCAGAAGAATGGTAAATTCCCCAAAACTTAAGCTACATGTGAACAAGGCACTGGAAAAACAACGATCAGCTGGTGTGCTCCACAGTTAGTACACAACTGACTACAATCATGGGGCATTTGTGGGGATACTTTCTTCTCTGAAGATGATGTGTATGAGTGCTGAGTCCTAGGAATATTCGCTTCATACTTGCTGTATAGGAAAACTTGCTAATGAAGTTTTGGCATTAGATGAAGCCAGCTGGCTGCAGACTGATAGGACATGTCCATATTTTTATCTGCGGTGACACATGCTACTGTGTCACTGGCATGGAGTCCTGCAAACTTTCTGTGCCACTGCTTAGGGAAACAGAGAATGCTTCAAATAGAACTGGATTTTTTTTTAATGTGTTTATTGTATTAATTTGAACCCCCCACCCCAAAAGGCTGACACTGAAAGATACTGCCTAGTTGTATTTTCATTTGGGTGAGGAGAGTTTGTTTATTTGTTTATTTGTTGAAAGGCCACCCGACTCCTAAACACTTGTAGGCAGCTTACAACTAAAAAAAC